CTGGTGAAAATGTGCCGCCCTGTATAAATGTCAGAAACAAATAAAAAAAGAAATTAATGTGCATAATAATGTCTCAAAAAGCACTTGCGTTTCAGAATTTGTTCGACCCGCAAAGGGATATCCATATTTTGTCCCAATCCACGTTTTAATGGCATTATCCTTTTGTGTTTTCTTAATTTAAGGGTGTAATTTGTCGTCATAAACACGAGTCTTTGCTAATATCACAGACGTATACAAACGATATTTATGTAAATTCTGTTAACATAATTAAAGGTACACCTCGCAAGGAAAGCACATCATTACGATAAGGTTCGGCCTACACATTATTTTAACTGTACTTGAGAGGCAGTTATGAGTTTTGAGAGGTAGTTTTTGTGCAAAACTAGCGACTACGCAGGGAGTCGAAGAAAGCAACCGAAGAGTTAAACTTGTAGTTCACTAAGAGTGTTGGGTATATTGCTGCTAGAGTACACAAATCTGCTTTGCATTGACAAATAATCTGCCTGGTTGAAGGAGTTTATAGCATCCTTTGACTTTTTAATCCCCCCAACATTCGCTTGAGCCAGATGTAGTCCCAGCGGAACATATGCCCGAATGAGAGAGACTGAATATTATGTCTACTTCCTATGCTGTTATCCATACATTTCGAATAATATTTTCTTTCTTCTTTTTATCAAATAATGATTATGACAATATTATTCATTCCTGAGAGAACATTATAAATTAATCTCATTGACTTTTATTTTAGATTGACCAGTGAAGTTCTAAGATCTAAACTTTATCTATCAAGAATAAGTCATAATGTTGTCCCAATTATTTAATGATAAGATATTAAGAGAAATCATTCTAACTTCATGAGCAACAGTAAATACTGTCCTCAGATTATCTATATGACAGGTGCCCTAAGTTAAGACATACAAGTATTTAATAAAAATTAATAATAAAGATTATTGTAACGCGATTCGTATTAACTGTTCTCAAATTAGAAACGATAAAATGGCAACATCGGAGGAAAGTGATGTTGCCATGGTGCTTAGGAGAGGACCTTTAGAGAAGACACCAATAAGAGATGCATGCAGTAACTCAGAGTGCATCGCCATGGTTACATCCGAAAGGCATGTCTACGTATGTGACCTGACAGATGCTAGCAAACAACACAAATATGGTAATAAAAAAGATATTTGGAATAACGATGATGATGGTGGTGATTATAAAGTCAATGATAATGATAGTAATAGCAATAATAATAAGAAGATGAAAAACAGGAACAAAAACAAGAAAAAGAAGAACAGCAAAAGAAAAAGAACCAGAACAAGAAGATAAGAAAAAAAGGAAAAAGAAGAAGAAGAAGAAGAAGATGGAGAGGAACAAAAACAAGAAAAATAAGAACAAGAAAAACAAGAAAAACAACAATAATAAGAAGAAAAAGAAGAAGGAGAAGAAGAAGCTGAGGAACTAGAACAACAGTAATAAGAAGAACAACAACAACTACAAGAACTAGAAGTAAAAGAAGAACATCTACAAAGAAGAAGAAGAAGAAGAAGAAGAAGAAGAAGAAGAAGAAGAAGAAGAAGAAGAAAGAGGAGGAAGGGGAGAAGGAGGATGGGAGGAGGAGGAGGAGGAGGAGGGGCATTTTTTTTTTAAACTCAGGGAGGGTATCCTTATCGGTAGTATACTTCTCTCCCTGAAGGCTTGCAATTGGGGGATATGTTCACATGGGACAATCACTGTTTTATTAAAACTGTAGTCGTTGTGGGTCCAGATTGGCTTTGTATTTGAAACAACAATTTGATGAAGTTCACATGAAATATTTTATAAATCGTCTAAGACCTATAATAGACAAAATTATAAAGGACGAATATTCATGCTTGTTAGTGGTATTTTGATTACTACTTTTCGTTCAATCTGAAGGTAAAACTAAGAGAAGGCTTTATGTTTGTTAAGTGGCCGGACATCCAACCCCGAATCTACTATTATCATAAGCCTATTTTTATCATTGATAAAGTCAAGGTGAATTTCACGACATCGGAAGGCGATGGCAAACCTGATGTTGACATCGTGAGCGTGTGCTGTGGTCGACATCACTTCCTTGCTCTCTCTGCCGGTGGCAGGGTCTACAGCTGGGGCAAGAATAATTACGGACAACTCGGAACGAAGAAAACAAAACGCTACAAAGGGAAGGACAGAGAAAAAGAAGCTTCAGAGCCAAGGTGAACCAGTTTGACTATAATTCATTCATTCATTCATTTATTTATTCATATTCCACGATTTATTCAAGTTTATGACAGGTGATGTTCATCGATTTGAGAAAAAATGTAGACCAAAACAAACAGATTGAAATCTTGAACAACAACGTTATCGGAAAATGTGAAGAGGTCTACTGAGAAAATTATAGTTTATAAAATCTACCCCCTGATCACCCCCACCCCTACCCCCCCTAAAAAAATATGCATTATGTAGAGGCAAGGAGTTCAAAAACAGACAAATTTGAAATGTGATTAAAATATATCATATCAGTGATGTTTGTCAGTGGCTCAGTGGTAGAGCATTGGTCTCATAACTGGAAGGTCCCGGGATCGAAGCCAGGTCCGTACACCAGTACCCCTTTTATAAGGCATTGATCCTAAGGACCCTTGGAGAGGAGTATGAAGCCCTTGTCCCCATCATGTTTACTTAAACACATGCTTTCTTAGCAGTCAGGAAATAACAATCATCAACTATTCAAACTTGAAACCGAGGTAAGTACAAAAGTCCAAAAAGGGTCCCCCTTTTTTTTGCACATCAACATTGTTAACATGCTGGAGTCATCATATAATGTATGTCTTGTCGTAATTTTGGTATATATTTATAGATATTTATTTGAAAATATTTAAGTGAACAAATGCAAGATAATAGTATACAGCAGCTATCACACTAACTCTGACGGTATCGTACGATGTCTAATTGGGAGAAAGAAACATAAAGTGATCTCCAGAGATGTTCTTGTATCCACATTGTTAATGGAAAGTTCGTTCTGAATTCATTCGTTCGAGTCGGTAGAAGCCATTTTTTTATTTTTAACTTCTCTCTCTTTGCCATGCAGGCTAATCACAGAACTATCAAGCTATGGCGTCATCAAAATCGCATGTGGGGATAACCACTCCCTCGCCCTCACTCGAGGTAAGTGTTCTTACCATGCTTTCACAGTTATCACTGATACTGATATATATATATCAGTGGCGGGTTCAGGGGGTGGGCACAGGGGGCACGTGCCCCCCCCCCCCCGGTAAAAAAAAAGGGGGGGGGGGGAGAACCTGAAGGGAGAAAGGGAGAACAAAGGAGGGGCAAAGAAAAAGGAGGGGAAAAGACTGAAAAGGGGAGAGAGAAAGAAGAAAAAAGAGGGAGGAGGAAAAGGGGAGAGGAGAAAATGGAGGGGGAAAGGAAGAAAGGGGAAAAGAGAGGAGGAAAAGGAAGAAAGAGGGGGGGGGGGGGAGGAGGAGGAGCGAAAGGGGGGAGAATAAAGAGAAGGGAAAAGAAAGAAGGGGGCCCAATTCGTTGGAAAATATGTAGCGGCGAAACAGCCAGCCGCTAAATAAGCGGGGGAGGGGTAAGGAGCACTCATTTTTTTTGCCCCCCAAAAATATAAAAATTCGCATCCCCCTCCCCCCTTGAGGCCCAGGGGAGGGGGCCCGTCACCAAATAAAAGTAAAATTAACGTGTTTTTAACTGTTTTTTCCCAGGGGAGGGGGCCCGGGCCCCCTCTCTGGATCCGCCACTGCTACACCCCCCCCCCCCACTGAAAAAGGTCTCGCGACGCCCCTTATAACAACACAGTTTATACACTAGATAACAAATTTGCAAGTACTCCTGGTGAAGTACCAGACCACCGTCTTTGTGTATTGTGCAGCAACACAGCATATACTACGTCTCGCGACATGAGAGATCACTTTTCTCCAACTTCGAACCAACCAGAAGGCCTCGTTTTTTTCAGGAAGTGCCGGTGGACATTGGGGTGGTGGACATTAATGCGCCAAATGTGGTTATCAAATTGCAAATGCTTCCTACTCAGGGAGGGGGTTCTGACACTGCTTGAGAAGAACAACAAAGTCCACCCAGTACAAGTAAACATATTTAGAAAGAGTCCAATACCACCATACCTCATAGATCTTCTCAATAATAAATAATTGGAATCATGCATTTTTGTATAATGTATATATTTACAATAGTTGAATAATATTTTCATCATTATTTAATGTTTAATACGCACCGAACTATGATTTAGTTTTAACGTAGGAGACTACATGTTTCACAAACCATATTGGAATATGTTTATCTTTGTACAGAGCTATAAATATATAATTATGTACTTACCATTGATGAACATGCAACATAGAGCAACATTTTGCTGATTTTAAATTTTCAATGAATTTTAATTGTAAAGGACACAGGTGCAATAATTTCAGCATAAGCTTTTTGACTGATTTATATATTATGTATTGTATTGATTATTATAACTATTGTTAATTTGAATGAAATGTAAATAGTATTATAGTATAGTATACTATAGTAAATAGTATGTTAAGTACTACCAATGCTGTTTGAATGATTGTAACAAATGAAATAAGATTTTACGTAACCATGCACAATTTAGTATTTTTGCCTTGAGGCATTGTCTTTCAATAAAATCCATTATTGAATTGAATCCATAATCTGTTTTCCACTCATATGGAATAAATTTTAATGTTCGAATGTAATACATTTTTAGTTTGAATATATTTTAGCTCTTTGTTTACCCCCCCCCCCCCCAACAAAAACAAAACAAAACAAATCTGTATATTTTCCCGTTGTTGTTGACAGATGGACGCTTATTTTCCTGGGGGAGTAACGGCAATGGCCAGCTCGGCATCAAGCAGGAGCGGAGTACTCGACACCACAACGCCGTACCGACTCAAGTTGAAGGCCTCGCAGATGTTACATTGCAACATATTGCCGCTGGGGGCGCTCACACTGCAGTTGTTTCCTTAACTGGTTCTGTCTATGTATGGGGCAGTAACTCGCACGGACAACTAGGCCTCCTAGTAACACAAGGTAAGGTCAAATGGTCTTATATGCTATACAGTGGGTGGAACTAGAGCCATCTAGGCATATATGCAAAAGTTGGACACAATATGGCGACTACTGATTTTTGGGGCAAGCACAAAACAAAAGAATATATGCCGTGTTGTGACCCATTGAAACTAAGTTGGCCAAACTCTGCGTATAGATGGCGCTGTGTGATACCAGGGCGAAACGCCCCCAGCTTTTAAGAAACAAAACAAAACAAAACAATCGAACAAACAAAGTAAAATCAAAAGCTTTGGGGAAAACCATCATGCGCCGCTTATCCATAAGGCACTTAGGGAAAAATCTATAATAATCTGGTTAAAAGAAAGTTATATTCATTTTTTAGTTTGTCTCTGTAAAGAGGTATGTATGTTTATTTGTACCAATATTTGTTCCACCATATTCGTATTATTATATATCCATCGAGGGTAGTCATGCTATCAAGATTTGCTTACTTTGTCAACCCTCCTGTTTGATGTTTTCGATTAGTTACTTTATTCGACATTATATTTTTCTGAAATGTGTACAATTTGCAATGTTTTGTTTGCTATATATTTGTAAAAATGCAAAAGAAAAAGGAAATCAAACAAAAATAAATAAATCAAATCAATCAAATAAAATAAAATCAAATGTGAAACAATAAACTGACACTAATATACTTTATCTCTTTGAAGACAAAATGAGAAGGCAGATAAAGATATTGTTACGCCATTTGTTTTGGTCTAGATGTGAAGATACCTTACAAGTTAAAGCTAGTTAGGGAAGGAGTGAAGCACATCTCTTGTGGAGAAAATTCTACCAGTTTCTTGTTTAAGGTAGGTTGACTCTTTTCTAAAAAGATCGAAACAAATTGTTTTTTTGTTTTTTCTGGTCTAAAATTATCAATTTAACATCAAGTGCGGGTTTTTGGAAGCTATAAAGGATTTAACAGTGGGATCAACACTCGTAAACTGTGGATAATAATAAATAATAAAAATAAATTAATTAATTTTGGCCTTTGTTAGAAGTGGGTTACTGATGTGGACAGATGCCCATGTACCCTGAACAGCTCAGTTTATGTATGTCATTACCAAAGACAAAAAGAATTCGGTCAGTCATTCAATAGTGTGTAACAGTTAAGTCTAGAAAATAAAACGGGTTTCCTTGCATAATTTGAATATCAGTACACTGATAACGTTTACATTTCATAGGTAGGACATACGTGGCATATTCATAATTCCTGCAAAATTCTACAGAATTTGCTGTTGGCTTTCATTTCGTTATATAATTTTGAATAATAATTATTAAAATAATAATGATAATACTAAATGAGTGAATGTATAAATGGATGAACTAATGAATGTATGGATGTAGGAATGAATGTATGAATTTATGTATGGATGAAAAGAATAAATGAACAGGTGAATGAATAAATGAATAGATGTGAAACAAATTGATGGATTAATGAATTAAAAAAATGAATGAATAAAGGAAGAAAGACGGAGAGAAAGAAGGAAACATGCTACGACGTAAAAATATTTTTCTCATGTATTCGCAGAATGGCGAGCTGTATGTTCTTGGAATGGGTGTAGGAATGCATCCACACCAGTGGTACAAGACTGAACTGAGCCCGGGACGAACAGATAAAACTCATCTCTACTCATCCTTGCAATCATACGGGTGCGTCTTTGACACGATCGCAAAGATTTTTAAGAAATGAACAGAAGAACAAATTTCAATATTCTAGGCCTGTTGTATATCTTACAGATATATCTTCCTCAGATGATGAAACATGTCATTATGACGTCATTCGCATAGGTGATGGATAAGGCTATAGAAATTGCATTAAGTTGACTTTTGGAAGTCCCGGGAATTAGTCTCATTTCACAACGCCCCCTGTCGTCAGAGCATGGTCTGAGTCAGCAGCCTAACATGTTAGCCTATGGACGTTTTTTTTTTTTAAATCGTTAAAAATTCATTTTTTGTTTAAACGAAAAGCACATCCACCCCGACGTACGTTATCACTAGCTCTTTCATTGAAGCCCTCATGTCTCATTGACTTTTGAAAGTTCACCCACCGTAATTTTTCAAAATAGGTTGCAAGCTCGTCATTGCCTATAATACACATGTGAAACAAGTCTAACTTTGGACTCAGTTTACCAAGCGATTTGAAGATTATAGGTCGAGCACACGAAACATAAAAAGCATGAATTATCATAGATCACTTCTGCCTATTTTATTATGTCCATTTCATCCAACCCCCACCGTAATTTTTCCATTTAGTAAAAGCAAACATTTTGCCGAGTTTAGCAAAAACATGAATATTCATGAACGGTCAGACAATACGTAACGTATAGTGAATGGGAATGGGCGATGATCCGTTCAGGAGGTAGAGGTCAGTGGTTTGTGCTGGCAATGTTCACGCGAGCGAAAATGAGACAATCGGAGCAATATGCGCGTCCTGTCGGGCGGTCGTGTTTCCCCGACCTTCTGTGAAAACATGCCCCTTTATCCACGAAATGTTGGGGTTATTTTTGTTAAATAGGCCTAAACCCCTTTCATCTACAAGTGGTCTGGTCCAATTCACCAGACACTTTGTGAAAACTTTGCGGCAGATCTACAAAAGGTCTCGTCCTAAACGTGCATCTTTACATTATTTTCCGTTTTTGTTTCACGAAAAGTCGTGTAACGCGACCACCCGACCGGACGCGATGATCCGATGAAATCGAAGTCAGCCTGCAATAAAAAAATTGCGATTTATCCGAACTGAGAGCAAACTGATCCCATCAAACTTGCAACTCCCATCTCTTGTTAGTACAGAGTTGCGATTGATATGAAGTTATGCTTGATAATCAATCGCAAACGTGGATAAGACGGGGCCAGATGGTACCAACAAAAGTAAACGTCTTCAACAATAGGTTTCAACCCATATGATACTTTATGTTCTAATGATTTGCTAATTTGCCTAGAGCAAATGATGATAAAAAGATAAGATAAGGCTAAAGTGATTCATGTCAGACAAAATATAAGACAAGAATTTAACAAATACATAAAAACAAACGTATTCAAACAATTTTGTGTGAAGATTCATTATCATTCAATCTCATGCGTAGCATTGACGAAGACATGCGAATTCATCTTTTTTAAGTTAGGGTATAGGGGGATCCCGGTTAATCAATATATTTGTAGCTATTGTGTTATTGCTAAATTTATCAACATTATCATTATTGCTAAATATATTACTCATTGTGGATGTAGTATCGAAAATAATATCGCTAGTGATATAGGCCTTGTGCGTTATTGTTCCAATTATTGATCGAATTATTGACCGCTGCGCCGGTCCTCCCGTAGAGTATAGAACACGCTTGCTTACATTAGTTTTTATCACCTGACGAAGTGTTGCAGCGGCGCACGAAACGTCGTGATCTTTTAGATTCCTCATTGACCACATTGCGAGACAAACGAATATCACTAGCGATATTATTTTCGATATTATCATTATTGTCATCATTATTTATATTATTATTATTGTTATTATCATCATTATCATTATCGTGAAGAATGTTATAAAAATTATAATTGTTATGATGATGATTATGATTATTCCTACTATTTATTATTATTATTATTATCTATATTCTGCTTGCAGTCGCTATACTTTCGTCGTCGAGCAGTCCAGCGGTAGACCGTTTGTTCTGGACCACGGAGAGGTAGGCGATCTAGATCTAAACGGACCTTCCCAATACCTGCAACTCGATCCCCTGGAAGAAACCCCATTCGCTGATGTCTTTGGACTCCAATCGCTCCCGGAATGGCCTCCCAGATGGGATAACGTTGACATGGAACTGTATAAAGTTCAGAAGGACGGTACATTTGATAAAATGTTTTGATAACTTCAATTTAGTATTAATGTTTCATTCAGTTTAAAGGTTTGGAAACGCCCCCTCTCAAAAAATGAAATGGAAGCTCTTATTACCAATCATGTGAAAGAATATGTTTTGACTTATACGTGATAGTACAAATTTTGCCGGGGAACCGCCTACTAATTAATTTTTTTTCCGTAAATTATCATATCGATCCGGCCTGCATATAAATCGTGAATGCACTTTAACATTGAACATTTTGGCATATATTTCTGTTTTTTGCTGAATTCAGGTTGAAGTATTACCATCTTAACCTCTGAAGGCAATATTTAAACAATATTGAATGGATATTTGGCACCCAAAACCCTTGAACCGCAATTTTACCACTGCCGGTCTATATCTTTAAAGTTTGCTTTTACCGCCCATGCCCACTTAATGCCAACTAAGATGATGATGCTGTTGTTGTTGTTGTTGTTAATGATGATGGTATTAATAGTAATAACAATGATGATACTATAACTAATTCACAGGGAGAGAAAGAGAGATAGCAGGAGTTTGAGAGAGAGAGAGAGAGAGGCAGAACAAGAAAAGAGAAAGATAGATAGATAGGTAGAGAGAGAGAGAGAGATCAAATGCTCAATGCGCACTTGTTCAATGAATTCACATAAAGGCATCTGCATATAAAACAAAAGACAAAATTGTAAAATAAAACATAACGAATTATGAAAGCGAACAATAATTTGTGACGAATCACGCAGATACGTTTTGAGATCTTTATTCCAATGAATTACTTGAATTTGAATTTAAATTTGCATTAGAATCAGCCGACATCGGAGCTGGTGTCGTTGGCAACCAAGACAGCAACAACGAAAGCAGGCGGCGAATTTTCATCATACAGCGCAAGATGGTATGTGTCATTTTTAAATTTTTATTATCGTTTTTTTTAATATATTTTAACAAGATCAGACTTTCGAGAGATCATCTTAAAAAACAACAAGAATTCTGCTCTACCAATTGCATTGTGAAATGTAGTGAGTGGAAGCAATGGGAAAAAAGGTTGATCATGCATGTAGCACAAAAGATTTTACTGTAAAGTTTTGGAAACTCGTCCATTAGTTTTGTTCTGGTTGGCCTTTGAACCACTTTTGTAGGGTTTGATTTCACTTCTGGCTCCTTGTCAGTCGGCTCACTTATAGTCCTTCTCATTACATTTCTGAACATTCTTTAATTTTACTTTTGCATTTTGTGTCGGTATTGTGGGAGGTCATTTTGGTACAATTAATGACCTTAATCTGCCCATGGGCACATTGTATCTGTAAACTCCCTTATTGTCATGTTACGTATTAATGGTTCTTAACATCATGTTTTTTCTTCTTCTAATGTAACATTTCGAATTTGTTTTTGCATTGTTTCACATATTTTACTGTTTGTATTAGTTTTGTGGAACTAAATCAGAAATGAATTAAATTTAATTGAATGAATATAGTTGCTGCTCTAAGATTATTCTACTCATACATCCGTTATGCTCTCCTCGTCTTATATAACAGGAGAAACAGTTGAAGAGATCCGTCTCTGTACGAAGTGAGATGCCAACACTCTCAATCGAACTGCTCCAGGAGTTGAGCGATCTTGATGAAACTATCTTCAGGGGGATGAACAAGAACGCATCATTTCAAGAAGCGGAAATAATATTTTCATCAACAGTCTGTCTGAATGCATCCTTCCCAACGACAGGGTAACAATTTATCCCCCACCTCCCAAAATAACAACAAAACAATCAACAACAAAAATGACAACAAAAAACAACAACAACAAATATAAATCAACCAACTAACAAACAAACAAATAAACAACAACATAAAATGTAATGGTAACAATAACAATCAAAATAATGAAGATGGTGATTATGATATTTATTATGACAATGATACTGACTATTATTACTAATATTATTGTTGATAATATTAAAGATGATAAGAATTATAATAATGAAAGTGATAATGATGGAAATCATCGTCATCATCATATCACCATAATCAATAATAAACAATAAAAACATATACTATCACAGTATCACCACATTAGTAACCATTATCATTTTTATTATCATTTTCACTACTATTCTCATTGTTAATTGCATTATATTTTCATTATGTTCATAATCATTATTTCATACCTCTCTTTAGAAATCTAGCCATCTGATTGGTCGAAATTGAACTCGTGATTTTAGCCATGCCCGTAAGGAAACGAACAATGCCAGTAACGGTCAATAGTTCATGAAAAAGCTTCCGGGTACCGGGGAAAATGGTAAAATTTTGCTTAGGTCCCCATTGGATTACATGTTTCTTTGTGCGAGCGCGGATACCATATTAACATACAGTGTGTGTGCGATTTGGTCGCTTAGCGTGTGCGATTCCCGGATGATTGTAACATTCAGGCAATATTTCCAGCGAAGATTAACAGACAGTGTCTCAGATTTTCTGCGATGTTTTAACCAATCTTTACTCAAGAAAAGGATATGGCAAGAATTCTTTGTAGATTTTCTTGTGAATTCGGTATATAAAAGATATAAAGACTACTTTGACATTGGTGGCATGGCTGTTTCTATCACTAGAAACAGCGATGCCTCTCATAGCAGTCAATATATCTATATAATTATCATTATATTTTCCATCATTATCGTTGTGATTATTATTTTCATTATTATTTTCATTTTCATTACAATTTTTATTATGTTACTTTTATTATCATTATCATTATCATAATGATCATTTTCATTACTATTATTATTTCTATGTTCATTATTGCCATTATTGTTGTTGTTGGTATTGTTCTTGTTCTTTTTTTTTTTAGGCCACACGAGGTCAATGACTTAAACATGGATCTGAAAGCAGCAAGAAACGCATTCGAATTGATCTTCAGAAAGAAGAGGCTCCTTGAATGGGTAATTTCTCTTATGTTTCATGAAATTGATCAGAAAAGGGTGGGAATTAGGAAGTTAGGGAATATTTAAATTTCCTTCTGCTCTTTTTCTTTAGAAGAAGAAAAAAAAATCATAGTAAAACTTTTTGCAGGTGATTTAGACTAATATATTACATGCTTACAAGTTTCGAGTAATGCTCCCTCCTAGGGCTCAGAAATATACGGGTTAGCGCCATCTATGCCCCTGCCTAACCCTAACCTTAATTATAGCCGAACATTTAATTGCAATATTCACCCTATAACTCTGTAACTTTGACGAAATAAAATCCGGAGAAATAGACCATTTTTTTTAATGTAATAAAATTTCTTTCATAAATCTTTGTTAATTGCCATGTTACAATTATTTTCTTCACCTGTTCAAATCTGATGCATTAAAAACGGTCCATTGACACCGAAGCTAAATCGCGGGTCACCATGTCATTATTTAATAGATATCGGAAGTCGTGCGCATTGACCTGTGCAGTTACATTCAACTTGAGCATCGGTGTGACGAGGATCTTCGTTTCTACCTCATCCTTCTAGAGTGTCCGGTCTTCAGGTATCCTCATTTTAAGTGGTGCCGGAAGGTTTTGACCGCTATAGGCAGGTTGATGATACATGGTAAGGATTACTATGACTCTGCTATTTCCGAATCAAATTCACCTTTATAAACTAGCTTAGTTCTAGCCATGTATGTTTTTAAATATTTCAGAGAAAAAATTGTACATCAAAGAAACACTTGCTGTTTTTGTTTTGCTTGTTAAAAAGATAAAATATTTAGATTAATTAAAACAGCTCAATGATGCAAACTGCTTTCGTAAAAGAAATCAGATTTCGGCCAAAAATGTTAATTTTGGTAACAAAAAAGGACCTATCGGTACAAATTTGATTAGCCCGATACAAATATAAATTATTGTATATGTATATTTAACGTTCATCTCAATTCATAAAAAAAACGTTTTTATCTTCCCTTACTCAAAATCGTAATGCGTGCATTAAAATATTTAACGCAAATGTCGCCTTTATGCGAATTCCGTAATTTGAACTGAAAATATTACCACTTGGGAGTGGGCATCTTCTCACGAAACCATCATTAGTACAAGTTCGCGGAAAATCCATTTGAAAATCGCGTATAAAAATTGACACCCATTTTAATAGGGTATCTGTGAGCTAGTACTGATGACTGTTTCGTGAAGAAATGCCCAGAAAACGAATGACCTGAAAGATCGGGAACATTTTTAAATTTTGTACTTATTTCAGATGCACGCTTTTCTCAACATTTGAGTGACAAATTGATTAAACTGGGCGGAAAAACTTTAACCATAGATTAATTTTGCTATCATTTATCTAAACTTCATGCGGAGATTCTGGCAATGGGAATCATTTGAGCCGACTGGTCAGCTGGTGGAAATTCGAACCCTTGTCATTTCGCGAGACAGTCCTAACCTTTCGGGAAGCTGTTGGCACTTTCGTAGAAATCCCTTCGCTCCTAGACCTTGAAAAAGATGACTTCAAGATCTATCTAAAAGTACTGCAATGTCTCGACCAGGTAAATACCTCTACGGTTATATAGACAGTAACAACCATGATGACGTATCCAGGACTCTGCGACGGGGGGAATGGGGAGAGGTGCCCAAGTCAGTAAATTATATGGCAAGCCAAAGAAAAAGAGCATCAGATTTCTATTGCGCGTTTGGCACGCACACAATAATACTACTATTAATAATAGCTCACATGCATAATGCGCCTAATACTCTGTTTCTAGGCGCTGCACGTATTATCACCCCGGTCATCGGATTCAGGCTTACCCGCAGCACAAGTAATGCACATTTTCCACTCCCTGGGGAGCATACCAGACGGTCGCCATTTTACAAGCCATTTTACAAACAAAATGAAATAATGATTTTTTTTTTAAAAGGCCATATAAGCATGATGAGCCCATGAGTATGATGAGCATAATTTTCCCCTCTTGGGCTCTTTCCCCAACCTTTTTGTTTGATTTTTTTGGTTTATTATTTTGGGAAGGGGCACGTTTACTTAATTCCCCCTGGATCAGCCGCAAATATTTTATACATCTTTGAAAGTTGTAGTTACTATACAGTCACATTAAATCTTTAAATGGCCCATAATCGGCAATATCACTGTGTGGTAGTGGTGGACAACTCTCCAAATAGGTTCGTTCCAATACACAATTATGACCAAAATGTCTGAGACCTTCTAGATACAATGGCAGGTCGGCTTAAGACAATTCTTATATTTAGTTTGTCTTACTTTGCTTCAGATAAATATCCAGCACGACCTCGTTTCTATCAAGACGTTCTACATTACCAATCTGAGATTCGCCGACCTACAAAGGGCATTGGATCGTTGTATGCAGCCTCGTTTGATGGTAAGACTTTTTGGGGGAACTACACCAAGTATCTTCTGATTTTGGCCATAGATATGATCATGAGCCGAATGAGGACATTTTGTTTTCCGGGGAAATATACAGCTTAAAATGGAATTATCACGACACGATCGAAACTACCTATAAAGACTAAATCAACGTAGGCCTAACGCAATTCAATATGCATGTGTGTCATGTTGAAATGTGTGAACATGACAATGAAGTATTACGTAATCCGAACATGATTTCTAGGGGACAATATGATATTGAAATTGCCCTTGAGTTGATTTTTTTTAGAAAATAGTGATTATGATCCTTTAATTATTTTACAGACCAATTAAGACTAAAATGCGACCGAGACAGAAAATACTACAGTGCGTCCTAGGAAAACGAAGCCCGAACACAAACGCTATATAGTGAACAAAGTATAAGCCGTATTAATATAATTCCTTGCTTTCCATAAAGTAGGAATAATACTCTTTCATTATTATGATACATTGATTAAATCATTCATACCCGTTTAATTGAGCAACATTGTTTTGAAAATGGCATGCCAAAATCCGTTTGTGCAAGATTTTGTAAAACCGTGAAAACGTAAGGATCGCACGTGAACTTGACCGAACTTAATCCAAAGGATGCACGTCATCTCACGATGCCAAATGTGCCTAACCACCTATCAAAGCTTATTTTATCTACACAAGTTATACTATAACTGCAGTGCCAGAAAATAATGCAAATTAGTAAGACTGAAAAGGGGGATTCTTAAACTTTTTAATAAACATAGGTATTTCAACAATTTAAACAAAAAATATGTTTAAAGAGAACATTTTTAGACACAATTCCCATTCGTATTTAATGCTCCCTCTTCTTTTTTTGTTTAGCTCCATCTGGCTCTCTCCTTCTCTTTTCTGTTTTATATTTCCTCTGGCTTCTGTTTACTTCCGCTGCTTGGATTGTTTCTTTTTCTGTTTTCCTTGTCCCATGTTTCATAATTTTTGTATACAGTAAATCCTTTGAACGACCGCGCGAAATCATTCAAGCTGGAGAATAGAGAGTTTTTGGCGCTGGTGTGACCGCCATAAAACTGTTTAGCACAAAATCGTATGGAGCCAGTAACCTTTGCCAGTATGACGTCACACTTCGGTATTTTTCTCTCATCCCGCTTTTTTTTCTTCGTCCCGTTGTAGCGATCCCAGGAATATTCTTCGACGTCATATCCATTCCTCATTGATCTGAAAGAAAAGGCAAATATGTTAGAACGCACTCACAAGATACAGCAACAGGTAGGCGTCAATGAACACAATTTAAGTGTGGGGGCACATACCAGTCTGGATTTTGACGTCGATTTAGTGATTATGATAATTATAATGATAATAATAATAGTAATGATGATAGTGGTAATGATGATGATAACAATAATAATGATAAGAATGATAATAGAAATCAATATATATATTATACTAATGATAATAATAACGATAATAATAATTACGATGATAATTGTATTGAAAATTAAAAAAAATAGAATAATAATAGTAAAAATGAAAAGTTCCAATTGCATCCATACAGTCTATCTCACAATGCAAAATTACGAACAGAACTCAACTTAACCTCTACAACTATATTATCTTTAAACATTTCTAAAACGTATTAGATTGCCACGGAACCGGAAAGGAAAATGATAGCACAGATACTCGTGGAAAGGCTATGGATAGACATGTTCAATCCTTTCTTGCGTTTGCCCCCACCGCGTCCCATGCTTACTCTACGCCTTGAGCTCGTCGTAAAGCGGGATGACATCTTCGGGAGGAGTGTCCGAGAGCGACTCTCAGAGATGTTGAGGCTCCCCAAGTCTACCCTTCAGAAACCTCTCAGGGTCATCTTTGAAGGGGAAAGGGGTGTTGACGAGGGAGCACTGAGTATAGTAAGTAATTAGTAGGATAACAGATTTAATATGGTAAAAAAATAGTGTGGTAAAGGATAATTGTGGTAAAAGATTGGATGTGGTAATACAGTGTGGTAAAAAATAAATAAGCTGAGGGATTCGCATGGTAAAAAACAAGTTTATCAGGGAATGGTGTGATAAGTTTTTAGTATGGTAATGGCTTTAGTATGGCAAGACGTTAGTATTGTGAGAGGTTAGTGTGGTGGATTAATATGATAGATAAATATGGTGCAAGATTATCGTGTTTTGGGATTAGTATGGTAAGGGTTTAGTTTAGTACGGGGTAAGTACGTGTAAATATTAATGTCATGAGGGATAAGTACACTAAGGTATTGGAAGATATAAGTGTGGAAAGGCATTGATATGATAAGTGATTAGTATTTTAAAGTTAATGATAATGATGACATAATGATATTAAAAATGATAATATTAAAGATAATAAGGATAATAATATAGTGGATCATGTAGCTCAGATACTCAAATGCATTGTGGTATAATGTTATATTGGTATTGGCATATATTGGCATTGGTCTACCACAGCACAGTTGAGTATATTAACATAGATGTGAGCAAAGGAGGAGGCATCTTAGTATAGTGGTTCATTCACTTGACCAATGGTTGAGGGTTCGAATCTCACCTCAGTACTATCTTCCTTCGGCGAGACATTAATCGACACTTGCAATTGCTAGGATAATAGCTTTCGCATTACGGGGCAATCATCATCATTATAATCATTTTTGTTATTATTATTATTATTATTGTTATTGTTGATAATGTTACTAACATAATTATTATTATGAACACAATTTCCTCCCCTTCACATCTCACAAGGTCTTTTCTCATGTACAATTTCAATTATACTTTTAACATAATACTCTTCTGCGGATTCTTTTTTGTTAAATGCAAGGTGTTAATATCTTTCCTAAAATGCAAACAATAACAAAGATAAATTTCTCCACATTATTATTCCGAAAGTTTAAAGTCAACAGAAGAATAGAAATTAGTATAAAAGGAGATGTCCTAACTATATAAGGAAATAATGCATAATTAGTTATGAAATTCATATTTGTTCTTCCTCTGTGAAAATATGACTTTGCATTGTGTACTTTGACTTCCTTCCTGAAACTTTAGGATTTTTTCCTGCTCATTTTTGACGAACTTTTGGACCCGGAAAAGAACGTCCTTTTCCGATATATCAACGAACATGACCCGACACAGTCACACGTCTGGTTCAGAGAGGTAATGTTTGTTGAACAATATACACAATATACATTAACATATCACAGAGGTAATGTTTGTTGAACAATATACACGATATACATTAATATATCACAATTTATTGTCAGCGGGTTTGTCAAGACAGGTATTTGACCCTTACATGAAATAGGATATTTGTTCGAGGGCATCCTATTGGCTGAGAAGCTATGACTTGACACTACACATTTATAATACGTGCCCGGGTGTGTAATGCGGTGTACAGTGCGTATACTGAAAACAAATACACACCTTGAAAATATCCTCCATAATTTCCATATGCTTTTGCATAAACTTTGCTTATGAAATTATGAGTGACAATCTGGCCCCGGAAAATCGCGGCTTCCCATTCTGCGCTGTAGGTTTGTTGGTTCTCACTACGAGTCCTCTGTCTGCGAAGTTAGAATTAGGTTACGCATTGTTGGCAAGTACACCATGAGATGACGCTGTGAAATATACGCTAGGGCAGAAAGGCCATTAGTTTAGTATCGCTTTAAATACTAAGTACACCATTCCATGCAATTAGTATTATTTTGTGTGCAATAACGCATGTTAAATTTAATCATTGCTTTACACAAGATAATAATTATTTGAATATAACAGGAATGCCCTACCAACGATACAGCGATGATGTGTGGTCTACTGTTTGGGCTGTCATTGTTCAACAACGCACTTGTACCACTGCCAGCTTTCCCCCAACTGCTCTATGCGAAGCTGCTTGGAAAAGGGTAGGAACATTTTTTTAGAGTTGTCTTGGTCAATGATTAAGCACTTTCCCCTGATAGTTCAAGAAGAGCTCACTTTTACTTTTCTATAACTTTCGTCAATTACTAATTTCCACTTGAAATTCGTTATTTCAATAAATATTTTCATGAAAAAAAAAAATTGCAAACAGTTTGTTTTGACATAATGCTTGTTACGCCAGCCTACAATATTCTATTGTTTGTTTAATACCGGGTCACCATCTTAATAGGAAGTTTTGTTTTAATTCAATCGTTACAATTAATTATCTACTACTTTCATCCAACGATGCATTTAAAGACAAAGCTTGTTCGTCGATCATTTGTTATGAAAACAATTTTTTCACCCTGGCGAGTAATTAGCATCAAATTCAACTGCATATTTTTTTTTTTTCGAGGAGAAAGTACCCCCCCCCCCCCCCCCCCAAAAAAAACAAAACGTGATAGGGGTGTGGCCAATCAGAATGAAATGCACACCAAGGGTGACATGAGTAAGTTACCCTACTGATTAATCAAGGTCGTACACAAATGCAGCATTCATCCATGGTTTATCATGCCGATTCTGAAAAAGAATTCCCTGAATGTACTGATCGATATCACCACCTTTAGCTGGTAAACTGTTTGAGGTACTAATTACTCGATTAAAAAAAAAAAAATGTTCACACACTTAGCCTTGCATATGCTGCAAATAGATATCAATGGCCTCTACCTTTATAATTGAATGCAGAACTTGATATAAATCCGGATCAATCGAGACTGATTTGGAGACAAGATCCTGAAATACATTTACTTTACATAACGCATGTCTTTTTTTTGTTATGCTTGATATTAAGCCCCGGTGAGGAAACGGAGGAAATTCGAGAGCTTGACAAGGACTTCGCAGATCAAATGTCGAAACTACTTTCGACAGAGGAAGATATATTGAGTGAGCTAGAGCTAGAGCTAGAGCTAGAGAATGGAGAAAGCGTCGAGGTCACCGAAGCAAACGTGTAAGAAGATAAAATTATATGTAGACACGATCGAAAAGACTATCGAAAAGTCAACCTAGAGGGGAACTGTTAATGGCCTTGTCGTATAATATGTAGGCACACATCCTTGTAACAGCCCATAGCAAAGAAACAGACCTTCGGCAGACTTGCTGCAGACAGTCATCATTTTCACAGGCAAATTAGTTTTGCTGCAGACTTGCCGCAACATTGCCGCATACTCTTTATCATGGATATTCATGAACTTTATATCCCATTATTGACCTGAAAATACTTGCCGCATACTCTTTATCATGAATATTAATGAATTTCATATATATAGACCTGCTGCATATTTGCCGCATACCTGCTGCATACTTTGTCGCTGCCTTTCCGCATACTCTTTCATATCCACCCAGTCTGCTGGAAGGTTTCCACATGCAAGTATGTAGCAATTAAGTATGCAGCTTCATTGCACGAAGGCTGCTGGAGAGCTGCATTGAAATCTTACATTCTAGCACCTAAAAGTAGAAACAGAACAGGCAAAATTGCTAGAAAAATTCTTCAAATGTGGGTTAACACAATGCAGAAGTAGAGGTAAAAATACAACAACTGCGTACAGATAGTCCAGAGTACAGTCACATATCCATATGCTACTGTGGACACATTACACAAGAGTTACAACAAAATAATTAGTTAGTGGGGCTGAAGATAAGATCCTGACCACATGGCACAACAAAAAAGTTTGAAACAGTCCGTTAATTCCTTAATTTCCTTGTTTTGTAACAAATTCCTTTCATGGTATCAGCACCTACTTGAAGCAAATCACATATTTGTTAATTTCACAGAAGCTAACAATACAAAAGACAGTGCCTAACACAGGAATGTATTAGATCATGCTGACCACAGCCTGCAAACTCATGGTTGCATCGTCCTCCAAATGGCAGCCTATAGCCTTGCCGCAGACTGCAAAATTTCCCACTTTTCTGTGGCAATTCGGCCGCAGACTGTTCCTGTGGCATATACTGGTATTCGGCGAGTCTGCAGCAAAGTTCTTTCTGCAGCAGACTGTTCCTGCAGCATACTGGTATGCAGCAAACTTTTGTTCTGCCGCATACTTCGACATACTTTTTGCCGCAGACTAAAAGTTTGTGGCAGATCTGCGGCATTCTTTTAACTTTCCTATGAGGAGTTATCGTCTAATTAGGCATCGTAGTCAAGACCAGAAACTGGTATTTTTACCTCTGACATTTTTACCTGGCACCTCTGTAGCAGCCATTACTGTGTGTACCGTTAACATGTTATCTGCCTTGTTTTTCTTATAGACACCTGTATGTGAAGAAGAAGGTACAAGATTACCTTGCTCCATCGCAATTCGCCGCCTTTCAACAAGGGTTCAACAAAGTATGTGACACCAGAGTTTTGGGTATCTTTAGACCTGTCGAGTTAGAAGCCCTCGTTACTGGTGAGAAATACTTCGATTGGGTCGCCCTCGAGAAGGTAGGCTGTATATATGGCAGTATAGCAGGCCTGCAGTGCCAAAAACATCAATCTGTATTCTAAGCTGCATGTATTTTCAGAACACAAGAACCAACTGAATAGTTTGATGGATTTTAGAAGTTGAATGTTGATTAATTTTTTTTTTTTTTTTTTATTTTTTTTACTATGGTCCTATATTCTAGCCTTATCAAAAGAACGATGCCCCGTTATCGAATTCTAATCAATTCAAGCGGTAAATATAATGGAAGAAATACATCGCTCTTATCTGCCCTAGCCAAAGTTCAGCACGCTTTCACAGGGCTACGGCTCACGAGATAAACAGCTCAAGAGACCGACATAAGACCGACATCGTCGGTCTAGTTGGCTGTCAGTATTATGAGTCGTCGGTCTCGTGTGATGTCAGTAAAGGTTAGCTAAATTAAACGCATGGATCTGCCACTTGTCAAAACCATTATTCTCTCTGAAAAATATTGGTTATTAGTTTGCCCAGCACGAGATTAATAATGATATCTATCCAACTAACGTTGGGCATTTTCTATACTCCACTTATGAGTAACATTTTGTCCGATTATAGGCCGAAATATAGAACAGTTACTTCCCAAAGTAAAATACCTAAAATTGAGGGGAAACATAATTACTCTTGATGGCATTTTTTAAAATCCAATGTTTTTGCAGTTGTAAGTTCATATATTACGTAATCTGAACATGATTCTCTTAAAGGGGCATGTTCCCCATATTCCAGAGGGCGTTCGAAATACGTACCCGCTGGCGGACGGTGCTAGCTGACTATTGACACCAACAGAATACGGCTCTTACGCAGATGGCATGTTCCGAATGCCCGCACAATGCCCATTAGCGCATACATGTGCCGAAGTAATACAAATCGCAGTTCGGCTCTAAGATTCGGCTGCTGTTTCCGCCCACTTTCGTGACGTCACGATCGGCAGCGATCAGCTGGCTTGGCGAAGGCAGGCCAGGACGCGCGTACTTTGACAGCTGTATGCAAATTAGAAGTCGATCTTCGGTACCAAGATGGCGATGACTAGAGCAGCGATAACTACACTGGCGGGAACGTGCCCCTTTAAGCAACACAACATGGTGTTGACATTGCCCTAAGGTGATTTATCAAAAGTCTTTTCAAATATTTGACATTTAGACCAGACGCTTCACACAATACTTTGAGACCTGAAACTTTGAATGCTTCAGAATGTTTGAAGTAGATAATTTACAGGTAAAAAGAGTAGGCCTAAATTTTAAATTTCATTGTCTCCAGTCTACACAGTACAAAGACCCCTACACAGACTCACATTCAACCATCAAGATGTTTTGGGAAGTCTTTCACGCTCTAGACGATGACCAGAAAAGGGAGTTTCTAGGTAAGTGGGAAAGTCTTGATACTGTATGTTACAGACACACCTTTTCTTGTTACGACATCAAATGCATGCAATATGCTATCACTCCTCTTTACAAAAACTACATGCTTGACTTTCCCTTTTTTCCGGCACCTATTATCTTGCTCTCCGTTTGCCCAGCGATTAACTCTTTGAAATCTTTCTGCCGACATCTGATCAACACCACCAACAACAACCAAAACAAAAAACTAAAATCAAAACAAACAAAGAACATCTTCAGTAATAACAATAATGGTAATAACGATAATAATAATAATAATAATAATAATAATAATAATAATAATAATAATGATAATAACATGCCTTATGTGATGCTCTGTCTTTTTCCAACCATTCCCCGATATGGTTATTAGTCGTTATCTTACATTTTTCCTCGGAGATTCTCCGAGTGACTATAGGTGGTATTTCTTGATGGATTACGCGTATGCTTTTGCAGACTTGTACATCCATTAATGGTATTTCCACAAAGTCTGTTCGCGAATTATGACCTGCTGCAAATGTAAACTGACGACCCTCTCCCTTTAACCCTAAAAAGGCCTGGCTATTTGAGGTCTTAGTACGGCCGGGGGGGGGGGGGGGTGGGCGGCCGATCTCCGCAAAAATATGCACGCATGTCAGGTGAAGTGTATAGAATAATATGGTAATTTCAATTTTTTGAAAAATTCAATTATTTGCCTATTTATGGTAATTTATGCAAATAAGGTCATAAAATCAATATAACTAATATATTATTCATATTTAAGCATTCTTTTTCACTACATAATCATGAGACCATTTGGAATAAAAATACGACAACATTTTTTGGAAGAACCAGCTTATTCCTTATGTTATCTCTTGTTTTGATAATTTCTGATGTATTTTATTGTTTTTTTAACTTATGTATTTTATTGTTTTTGTTGTTTTATTTTATTTCTTACTACAATTCAACTATTTTTACTCCCAAAACAACCACCTAAACTTTAAACAAGACCCAATAACCAATGTTTATGAAAAATGACATTTACTTATGTTTTGTAAACACATCACATAAATCGTGGAGGGGGGGGCATAATGCCCCCCGGCCTTTTTAGGGTTAAAGCAACATCATAGTTACGTTTTTTGTATGTAGTGGGGGCTGTTAGGGCTTAATAGGGGTCGTTTTGTGCAGATTCTTCTAAAAGCACCAAATTTGGCCCAGAGGTAGCTTATACCATACTATTACGATTTCTGCCGGACGCCAAGAAGGGCGCCCCCTGGGACTGCCATATTGGGCAAATCCAAAATGATCGCCATCTCAGTTAACGGTCAAGCGTAGTTCCAAAAGGAAAAGGACTTAAATGATAATAGTTTATACATTTATGGGTTTTTTTTTTTTTGGGGGGGGGGGGGGTCAGAAAATCTGATTATAATGTTCTTTCATCGATTTGAGATCTCCTTGGGGCTGCCATACTGGTCATATTGGTCAAATCAAATAATGGCCGCCATCTAAGTTACAGGTCAAGTGTAGTCACGGAAGGAAATGGGCTACTATGATAACAGCCTATATTTTTATGGGGTTTTCGGGGTCAAAGAAACTGATTATGACGTTCTTTCGTCGATTTGAGATCTTCTTAGGGCTGTCATACTGGTCATATTGGTCGAATCCAAAATGGCCGCCATCTGAGTTACAGGTCAAGTGTAGTTACGAAAGGAAATGGGCTTGTATGATACCAGTTTATATATTTATGAGGTTTTCAGGTTCAGAGAATCTGATTATGATGTTCTTTCATCGATTTGAGGTCTCCTTGGGGTTGCCATACTGGTCATATTGGTCAAATCCAAAATGGCCGCCATTCGATAGTTACAGGTCAAGTGTAGTTACGAAAGGAAATGTTGCTAGTATGATAACAGTTTATATATTTATGGGGTTTTCGGGTTCAGAGAAACTGATTATGATGTTCTTTCATCGATTTGAGGTCTCCTTGGGGCTGCCATACTGGTCATATTGGTCAAATCCAAAATGGGTGCCCTTCTTGAAATCGTAATAATATGTTACAAGCTACCTCTGGGCCAGATTTGGTGCTTTTAAAAGAATCTGCACCAAAATATCCCTAACAGCCCCCACTAATGGGCAAATATTACAATGCATGCCTGTGCTTCGTTTTCATGCAGTATTTGTGGCGGGGTCTGATCGCGTACCGGTCGGTGGATTGCAGAACCTCGGCCTCACCATCGTTGAACTGATCCCGGAAGATGCCGTCGACAACTACGACGATCTGTGTCTAAAGGTCCATCGCTGCAACAATGACAGGTATAACCGCACACTGGAACTTCCTATGCACACGAGTAAAGAGCTCGTCAAGGATCGTTTATTGGCCACCCTGTCGATCTCTCTTCCAAACGGCCCATTTCATATTGCCTAACGCTTGGGCGAAACCCCTTAACGCATTCCCTACTGGAAACTGGTGGTTCCTATATTAAGCCATTTGAAATTTGGGAGTTCAGCAGTTAACGGGTTAAGGATCGATCATATATGACGCAGCAATCCGCTGTTATTTTATGAATGTGTTTATGAATATGGCAAATACGGATTATATATTTCTGCGAGTGACAAAGGCCTGACGGGTACTCACTTTTTCTGATCAATATGGGCGAATTCCAAATGTCTGAACGATTCAATTCTAGGATATAAAAAAAGTCAATACGTATTTGTATTGGTTCTCGCTACAGAGATTACATCGCCCCTCGTTTTTTAAATTAAAAATCCTTTATATAATATTATATATTTCTGCGAGTAACAAAGGCCTGACTGGTACTCACATTTTCTGATCAATATAGGCGAATTCCAAATGTCTGAACTATTCAATTCTAGGATATAAAAAAAGTCAATACGTATTTGTATTGGTTCTCGCAACAGAGATTACATCGCCCCTTGTTTTTTAAATTAAATACCCTCAACATTTCGGATATCACCTTTTAAAAGACTGCACTCTTTATGTTTAGTCTTTGCCACTGCCAATTGCCTCCTGCTTTGACTGCCCTGTTTTAGAAAAAACAAAGAAGTACATTCATATCCAACAAGACAGTCCAATACATTTCACCTATCCAATCCCAAAACCGCTTCGGCACATTTATCGATTATACATAGTGACCCGGACACTTGGAATGAGCCAGTTCACAGATACAATCTGCGCATGGGCAGATAAAGGTCATTTGTACCAAAATGGTAAAACCCACAGAGATGAATACTGGATATGCGCTCATGAAAGTTATGTAACATTATTCATTTATGCACCAACGGTACATTCTATGATACGCAGGTGGCAGTATTCTTTTCAACAGGTCAAACAAAAGGTATTCATGAAGCACATCTAGGACTTTGGCAGTTATTATTCTAAGATGCTCAAAGTGGAACTTCTCCATGTGTAAAATATCTGTGGATATTTGGGGTCATTTGTACCATGTGCTATCTGTTAACTCCCTTATTCCCTGCCTTTGGATCAAATGAATATTCACTCAGAGTTTGCATTCACAGTAGCAGTGAAAATAATGCTGCTCTCTCATTATACCGTTTAATCATGAATCCTTATGTTTGCTTTTGTTAGCAATGATATGTGCAATCATCTGTAACTACTCACTTTAACCACCCCTCTCTCTGTATACCTTCCTTCTCTCTCGAACTTCATCTCTCCCTCTCCCTTCAGTCTTTAGCTGTCATTCTTCTATTCTCTTTGCTGTACTTTTGCATCACCAGGAAGCCCCTAATGTATGTATTTTGCTTGTACATTTACTTAATTGCCAGGGCTCACAAGGCATCAAGCGTTGCTTATCTTGGAGCCCTGGCAATTCTGTTTTAAATAAGTTCATATTTCGTCATGTATGCCTGGTTTTATCATGAATCTAGAACTAAAAAAAATAATGAAATGAAATTATGAGATAAAACGTCATTCTTTGTGAAGAAAACAAACCGCGCCCGTTTATCCGTCGAATGTGACTAATCCTTTAAACACGCACACCCTTTATTTTGGGGGTACTCCCATACCCCCCCCCCCTCTATTTCATTACCTAGGTACAGCTAGTGACTGTCTCAGTTTACGTTCTTGTATTACATCGCTTTAATGCATTCAGCTAAATTATTTCACATTCGATTGCTTTCGTCGCCTCTCTGCCGGTCGCTTGTTTGCTAGACGTGCAATTTTGCACAAGTAATAACCACCATCTGACCGAAGTATTGCTTCGTACAACAGAAAGGCTATGCAATACCTTTCCAGGTCTTGATTGGTTCTATGAAAACCTTTTTTTTTACACCGGTATAAATTAATCTATCTATCTCACTATATAAATTATGGCACAGAGAGGCAAATTTATCTGAAGATTTATATACTGGTTGATCCTATGAATTATTTTAACAAATGTGAAATGGAGAGGATCTATAATTCCTCTTTGAAAAAAAAAAACAAAAAAAAAACTTAGATTTCTTTTTATTTTCTTCCAATGCTAGTTTGAAAAAGACTAATGAATTTTAAAGTAAATACTGAGGCAAATTCTTATGTCATCGCATAAAGTGTCTAAAACTCTCAATATTTGCATACAATTTCACTATTTTTATATTTCAGGAAAAATCTCTTACTACTTGTCTTTTTTTCTTCTTATACAAAGCAAAATATATATCTAGCGATGTAAGCTCCCGAGTACTGATAACAAAGTATATTGCTGTCGTATTTATAGCAACAAAAACATTTATGTGTATTGTATTTATTAAATTTCATTGATGTACATCAATATTCTGTTTATAAACATATCAATTTGCAATGCAATGTAACAAATCAATATTCTGTTTGTAAACATATATATCATATAAATCAGTTTACAATGTAGTGTAACAAGTCAATATTCTGTTTGTAAACATATATTATATAAATCAATTTACAATGCAGTGTATATAGCAAAACAGAAGGAAAATTATATACAGCAGAAACATCTTTTTGTTCTTGTAATAACATGACACATAATGCATAAAGTAAATAATATAATGTACCATAATACATCCGAAGATTTAGATATATAAAATATAGCAATTTTCTAAAAAAAATATAACTCACGCTATACAAAAATAGGTAAATAAGGTACATGGAATGCCTAAAATAAAGGACGCAGTAGTATATATATATGCGACCTTCGGTAAACTTAAACCAAAAACATAAGATTTTAAATTTTTACTTTGTAATTACAAAGCATCTAAAAGTAACCCCTCAATGCAATAATGTTTTGATGAACGAAGAGAAAATATCTATTAAATCTGTGAATACCTATTATAGAGAAATATTTCCATGTTGAAATGTATTAACTATAACGAAACATACTTTGATTTGTGCGGTAGTAGTTCTACGTCGTATTATTTAGTTTCGAAATATTATGTTTAAATGACCCCGAAGCAGAATTATTTAAATCAAATATCAAATCAAACATGAAGATATCAATGCATTTTTGTGTGTATGTTTATGCACACTATACATTGTTTTGAAATACTCGAGATCGTGTTTTATCTTGCCTCTGCGTTGCTGAAAATCTTTTAAACAGACATAAAACAGTCCATTTTAAATATTAACATGCAATAAATGTAGTCGTTTGCTTTAAACACTGGTTATCAGAAGACGGAGTTTTGTTTCATTTGTGAGTGCTGACTTTCATCCGTCGGACAATATTTTAGTACAGAAGAAATGGAGAGTTTGATTGAGAGCAAGAAGACGAGATTACGGATTGTTAGAGGGTGGCAAGTCGACTTGTTTACCCCTTAACCCCCCCCCCCTCCCCCGTAGATCCGCCCGTGGTCAAGTCGAGATACTTAGTTGATGGAAGTCAGGAAGTCGACTTTTCTTTGACGAGAAAACAAGACTGATCAAACCGATTTCAAGTTCAAACAACTCGTTTCCTCGTATTCTCGTTCTATAAAGGAGTCGCCTTTAAAGACACATATAGAAGTGGGGTCTCATAACTACGGGTAGGCTTATAATCCGACACTATTCGGGTGTTTACCCAACTACAGGACCCTGTTTCATAAAACTTGATATCAATAACAAGTTACAAGCTACTGTTATAAGCTACTGAAATCATGGCATCTGATTGGCTGAGAGCAAATTTGTGATAGAAATTCGTTATAGATAACAATTACGTTTTATGAAACAGGCCCCTGGTGTTGTATTTCTTCAGGATTAGCCTTCAGTTTGATAGCCAACATAATGTAATGCTCTGCATTTTTCACCCATTCCCCATATGGTAAAGTCGTTATCTTACATTTCTCTTACCCAAAGGCTCTGGCCTTATTTCTTGATGGGACTACGAGTTTGCTGTTTGCGAGACTTTACATTCATCGAGGCCCGAATTCACAAAGGAGGTTTGTCGACAAACCCAGGTTTGTTTCGACAAACCTCCTTTTGTCTTTTACAAACCAAGGTTTGTAAAAACGCGTCGAAACGCGTCGTATGACGCACATAAACCTCGGTTTGTCGACAAACCTCCTTTGTAAATTCAGGCCCTAGTGTCTGCGAATTGTAACTTTCTGCGCATGGAAAATGACGACCATCTCCCTTTATTACTGAGTTCCGACAATTCGTCATTTCGTCTGTTGACTGGTCTTTTTCTCATATCTTGTCCTAATTTCGGCACTTGTTAAGTTTCCATACATAGGAGAACCAAACGTGTTAGACAAACATCTGACATTGGCAACAGGCACATATTTGGGAATGCGATAATCGTGTGAAAGCATCAATATTTCCTTCTTCTCATTCTGTCTCCTTTCTGTTCGCTCGTTCATTAACTGCCCCCCTCTCCATTTATTTAGGCTCACTCCCTTTCCCCTTGGATTATCTCCTTCCTCCTTTCCCTTTTCTCCATCCCTATTTTCTTTCCTCAGCCTCATGGCCACTTCGCTCTCTTTTTTGATACCCGTCTTGTAATTCCCCGTATATCTTCACTACTCTATCACTCTCTCCATCTTATATTACGCTACTCTTTTTTTCTGTCATGCATTCCCCTCTTTGCTGTCACACTCGCCCTATGTCTGTCTGCCTGCATAGCCATCCTCTCCCTCTCTCTCTCTCTCTCTCTCTCTATCTCCCTCTTTATTTCTACCTCTCCTGTGCCCCGTTGCATCAAACTTACCATTGATAATAACTTTGCCATTAATCGTAACTGCCATGGAAACTTTAAATTAATTAGCTGCTGATCGTGATGTTGCCATGGTTGTTAATATTGGTGACAAAGCTACGATCAGCGACAAGTTTTTATGCAATAGGGCCAACTCCCGTTGTCGATTCCTTTCGCATTTCTCTTGAAATCACACACAGTATTTAGAAAATCAGTTTAAATTCTAATTCTGTTTCAATTAAGATAAATAAACAAGGTAATTCAAACAAGATTTCACAAAATACAATAATCTTCGAAATGTATATAATTTTGATAGAATATTTGGAAACAGCATTATACTATAACTACAAGTAACCAACAATGTTAGGAACCCTATACATGTTCGTGTTTCGTGTATATGACTGTTAACTATGCGCTTGAGATAAATGATGAGGTGAAGTAAAATTAATTAAAAGCACACGACAGTCTTAGTCACATGTAAAACTTGGTTGGTTTGTTTTAATACTGCTGCTGCTTTTCATGCGTTATGAAGAACAGGAAGGTTCAAATAAATAATGTAGAATCACATTGTTGTGATATATGGGCACCTGATTTGGAGTTGAACCCGAGACTTGCCCCAGACAAGAAGGGGATTCAATCTTCCTGCAGTTCTAAGCACACGAAAAGCAGCGACAGTATTACAATTGTGACTATGACCATGCACATAAATAACATAAACATGAATATGTATAATATTTGTCACAACAAGCAACTTAACAAATCATACTGAAGAATATAATGTTTATATTGGTAGATATAGATAGTTTATTGGTTTCCACGATATCTCATTTTACAAAGAGTGTAACAACATATTGAAAATGATTATAATATACATGTACTTATAATACCGGTACACA